TATTTGGAAACAGGCAAGCAATACCTACACACACATGTTTGAAGATACATGGAGAATAGTTTTTCTTATGTCTCTTTGTTGAGTAAAAAAACAAACTTGAACAATCAAAAGGTGAATAAATGAGCTCTAACAAAGAGATTGATAGGAAGCATTTATTAAATCTATTTATTTTAGGAATAAAACTTTAAAACATGAAAAAGAAATTGCAGTTGGGCAACATTTGGCACTTCTGATCTCTTGGCAAAGGAGGCAGTTTATGGAAATAATGAGTCACACATTGTATGTCCTCCTCCTGAATCTGACTGGCCACTGCTCCAGGTGAACAGACCTTAGAAGAATGGACCTTAGATGGCCTTTTGCAAACGTTAAAGAACGTGCAATGAACCAAGAGGTATAACAGATGCACTAAAAACATTATGTAAAGTGGCATTCACTTCCTAAACCACATTCCTCTGGAAACTATGAACTTGGAGAAATGACAATTGTTATAGAAAGGCTTCAGGTCTTTTGTTCATAGGGTCACTACGAGTCATGCTTGACCTGTTGGCAATCAACAACAACAAACACATTATTAGGCTAATTAACTGGGATGTTCATGAAACTATGACCCTAAACTTCTAAGCCAAGGAACCAAACCCATGTGGTATTTGGTTATACATAAGGAGCCTCAGAAGTACTGTTTTTCTCTCTTCTTATTCCCCCATTGTTGTAGAGGTATCTATCACATAACTTTCGACAATCAACTTTTCACAGGAATATAACTTGTTAACAGCAGTTAAAGTAACTGGCTGTGTAATCTTGCCTTTAATGAATGTGATATTTATCTGTTACCTTTCCTCCTTCCACTCTCTCCCACTTCTGGTGTCCACTATATGTGGTCTCTATATATTTGCCACTTCTTGTCTTTTTTTCTTTTTAAATTTAATTTTATTTTAATGAAAGTTTACAGAGACTTCGGGTTTCCATTCATTTATTGTTGCCCTGCCCACTCCTCCCCGCCAATTCACTTTTTTTTCAAAAAGTAAAAGAAAAAATTCTTTTACTGTTATTCAATCCTTCTTCCCAAGTCCACTCCACTATGCTCCTGTCATAACAATAATGAGATTATACAACATTTATCTTTTTGTCATTAACTTATTTTGCTCATCATACTGTCTTCAAGCCACATTCATACTATAGCATATATCAAGAATTCACTTCTATTGGCTGACTATTTTTCCATTATATGTATGCATCTCATTTTGTCTCTCCATTCATCTGTTGGCGGGTATTTATGTTGGTGGTTCACTATTGTGAATAATGTTGCAATGAACATCTGCTTTCAAGTCTTTTGGGTATATACCTGGAAGTGGAATTTCTAGGTCACATGGTAGTTCTGTTTTTGGTTGTCTGTGGAATCAACACTTTATTTTCCACAATGGTTGTATGATTTTGCATTGCCATTGGAGAAGCAATGGAGAAGAATTAGCAGTGGAGAAGAATTCTAATCTCCCAATATCTTCACAAACTGTGTGTGTGTGTGTAAGTCTTAGATATCATGTTGTTTTTGCTACATACCATCAAGGTGGAACTGACTCACAGCTGACCCCCCAGTGGGTTTTCAGAGGCAGTAAACTGCACAGGAGGAGACTGCCTATTTTCCTCCTGTGGAGCTGCTGGTGGATTAAAATTGCATGCTTATAGGGTTGTTGCACAACACTTTACACTTAACCACAAGAGCTCCCTGAACCAACTTGTTATTGCTGTGTACCATCGTGTTGGAACTGAGCCATAGCTGCCCCGTTGACAGGTTTTCCAGGGCAGTTAATTGCATAAGAGGAGATTGCCCACCCTTCTCCATGAAGCAGCTGGTGGATTCAAACTGCATGCCTTCGCGATTGCAGCACAGCTTCTTACCACTAGGCCACTAGAGATCCCATTTAGTTAAGAGTGAAATAATATTTCATTGTGGTTTTGATTTGTATTTTTCTGGTAGTTAATAATGCTGAGCATCTTTTCATGTTATTTGGTGGTCACTGGATGTTTCTTTGTTGACATGTCTATTCAAGTCATTTTTCCACTTTATGATCAGACTGTCTTTTTTATTGTTAACTGGAAAATTCATATATGTTTTGGTTATCAGATTCTTGTCAGATATGTGGTTTCTGAAGATCTCTAAGTAGATATAGGTTTTTTTCCTTTTTAGGATAAAGTCTTTTGATGAACAATGTATATAATTTTTAGGAAGTCTCATTTTTTTCTTTTATGCTTTTGTTAGTATATTAAAGAATTCATTTTTGAAAGCTAAGCCTGATAGCGTTACTCCTCCTTGCTTTTCTGAGATTTTTATGGCTTCAGTTTGCACAATGAGGTCATTGATTCCCTCCTTTTTTTTCCAAATGCTAAATTTCATTCCTCTGGTATTCCGGGAATACCAGAGGAATGTCTATCTGTGTTTCATTGACTATGCAAAGGCATTTGACTGTGTAGATCATAACAAACTATGGCTGACTCTGAGAAGAATGGGAATCCCAGAACACTTGATCGTTCTAATGCGAAACTTATACTTGGACCAGGAGGCAGTCGTCAGAACAGAGCAAAGGAACACTGCATGGTTCAAAATTGGGAAGGGCGTACACCAGGGATGCATCCTATCTCCATACCTATTCAACCTATATGCAGAACAGATTATGCGGGAGGCTGGGCTCTATGGGGAGAAATGTGGGGTCAAGATTGGTGGACGATTTATCAACAATCTGTGTTATGCGGATGACACAACCCTGCTTGCTGAACCTGAAGAGGACCTGAAGCGCCTTCTGCAGAGTGTCAAGGACTGCAGCCTACAATATGGATTGAGGCTCAATGTCAAGAAGACAAAGATTCTCACCACTGGACCAATTGGCAGCATCAGGATGGATGGTGAAGAGATTGAGATTGTACACAGCTTTAGTTTGCTTGGCTCCACAGTCAACAGTCTTGGCACCAGCAGCCAGGAAATTAAAAGGCACATTGCCATGGGGAAGTTTGCTGTTAGGGACCTCTCCAAAGTACTGAAGAGCAATGGTGTCTCTTTGGAGACTAAGGTGCGTCTGATACAGGCCATGGTCTTCGCAATCACTTGTTATGCATCAGAGAGTTGGACAATGACCAGGGAGGACAGAAGGAGAATTGATGCATTTGAGCTGTGGTGCTGGAGAAGAGTATTGAGAATACCATGGACTGCTAGGAAAACAAACAGATTTGTCCTGGAAAGGGTTAAACCGGGAGGCTCCTTGGAGGCAAAGATTCTGAGGCTCCATCTAACATACTTTGGACATGTTGTGAGGAGGGACCGGTCCCTGCAGAGGGATATATCATGCTTGGGAGGGTGGAGGGACAGTGCAGGAGAGGAAGGCCCTCTATGAGGTGGACTGATTCAGTGACTGGGATAATTGGGATGGGAGTGTCAGAGACAGTGTGATTGGCACAGGACAGAGTGGAGTTTAGGGCTGTTGTACATAGGGTCGCTATGAGTCGCAAGCGACTTGACGGCACACAACAACAACAACAAATTTCATTATTTATTAGACATGTTTCCTGCATGGTTTATTTCCTCAGTCATTGTTCAGAGGTCTCTGAGAAGCTGTAAGAGTATGCAGGCGTGGACTCAAGGCCCAGCCTTATCTCCAACATTGTGTACGTCATTGGGCAGACTTGACTCATTTTAAATTTGTTTTTGTATGTGGTGTGAGACATGGAGTTCATATCATTTTCCTGCTTGCAGAGATCCAATTTTTCCCTGCCTCATTTACTGAAGAGATTCTTCTTAGACAGTTGAGTGTACTTGGCATATCTGGACTCTTAGTTGTATTCCATTGGTCTGTGTGTGTATTGTTAAACCAGGATGATTTGATTACTACAGCTGTATTAAGAAAATAAACTAAACACACTGCCATGGAGTTGCTTTCAACTCATGGCAACTCACTGTCAGGTTTCAGAGGCCATAAATCTTCCTGGGATGGTGATGGTTCATCTTTCTCCTCTCCAATATTTACTGCACTGAACCGGGAGGTGTGGATCCTCCTGCTTAGATGTTCTTTATTCCAACATTGCTTTACCTACTTGGGACCTCTTGCCATCTCATGTCAAGATCAAGACTCGTTTTCTGTTTCCCTAAAGAAGGCTGCCCCTTTCTTTGGAATTTAGATTGGATTGCACTGATCCTTTGTGTAACACTGGCATCTTAACTATATTAAGCCTTCCAATTAATGAACAGCAAATGTGCCTGCATCTAAGTATTCCTTAATCTCTTTCATCCTTCTCTTAAGTTGTTATGTGCTGCTGAGTGGGAACGTACTCATAGGTGACCCTCCAGTGGGTTTTCAGAGGCTGTAAATGGCGCAGGTGGAGATCAGCCATCTTTTCCCCATGGAGCAGCTGGGGGATTTGAACTGCTTGCCTTTAGGTTGGCAGCGTAACTTGTTCCTCAATCCTCTATTTCTCTAGAGGCTTTTGGAAAGAAATTATTTTGCTTCAATCATTACAGTGTTTCGTAGCACCTGCTCATACAGTGAGCAACTTTAACTTTTTTCTATTTCTACTCTGACATGGAAAATACTGCTAAAATTGGCTTAATTATAACAGTAGCAGCTACCACTTATGTGTGTTTATTATTTGTTAGGAAGTGCTAAATATATTATGAACATCATTTCAGTTAAGGCTCAAGTAACATCATAAGGTCACTGCTAGCATTTTCTAAAAAGCAAGGAAACCATCCCAGGCCACTATCTCTTTGAAGACAGAGATATCAGCATTATTCACTGATGAACTTCAGGTGCCTAAAGCACACATATTGGGCGCTCAGTAAATGCTGTTGACTAAATGAAGCTTCAGAAGTGTAAGTAGCCTTTCCAGGATCATGGCATCCAGTGGTAGAGCTGGGCTTCAGACCTGGTCTACAATACCAACGCCTGGGGTCCTGACCCTTTGCTATGCTGCTTCCTGCCTGCACCCCTCAGATGCACCCAGTTTTGGACACTCACCTGACTCCAGCTCCCTGCAAACCACTCCACCTTGCCAGTGCAGGGCCCATTGTCACAGGGGGTAGCCTCAGCTGGGCGGTTGTTCCCACAGCCCTCCAGCGGTAGGCTGCTGACGTGGTTGGTCATGCACACCACCGAGCGTGTCCGCACTCCCGCCCCACACTCCGCTGAGCACTGTAAGAGAAGAGGGGGTGGATTAGCAAGGAGGTCTGCAGCATACTCCGAACTCTCCTTCAACCGGTGCAAAGGATAACTCAACACCTGCTTTTCCAACCAACCCTTCCACTTCCCTGACCTAACAGCTTCTTATGCATCTCCCGGATATTTTCCTTTGAACTCTGGTAGCCCAGTGGGTAAGGAGTGGTGCTGCCTCTCCGAAGGTCAGTAGCTTTAATCCACCAGCTGCTCTGAGGGAGAAAGATGGACAATCTTCTCTTAGGTGATTTATAGTCTCTGAAAGCCCACTGAATGGACATCTATGAGTAGGCTCTGACTTGATAGCAATGTTTTTTTAGTCTGATGCCATTCTTTTGTGCAGCATAATGTCTTCAAGACACATTCATACTGTAACATCTATCTTGCCTGCATGTTCAGCTTTTAAGTGATCTTGTTTTTATTTATTTTAAATACAAATGATGGCCAAAAAAAAAGTGTTTCTAAGCACGGTCGTCAATTTAAGTGTGCGGCAACGTGTTAAACTTGCCAATCTTGATAGAAACCAAACATTGTTTCGGTTAGTTTTTTTTTGGTGTGTGTTTGTTTTTTAAATTAAATTTTATTAATTTTAATGAACATTTACAGAGATTTTGGGTTTCCATTCATTCATTGTTGCACTATTTTTCTACCCTCCTCCCCAGTTCGGTCCTCTTTCCCCCCCCCTTGAAAGTCTATTTTAATTGTCCAGTTGCCATAGCGCTTGTCAAATCCAGTTCTGATTAATCTCCTTTGTTAGTGTGTCCTTTGCCATTCCCTATCACTCCTCCCTGAGAGAGACTTCACCCTGATTCATAAGGAAAAGGGGATGGCATATTCTCTTAGCTACTTCCCGCTGAAAAGGGATGCTGTAGGTTTCAGGGTGAAGATCTCTCACTACTCTGAAGGGCCCCTTTGGCAATAGGAAACACGTAGACTATTGTGGAGATTGATTTTGGAATTTAGATGCACTGTTATCAATTGTGCTTAGCCATACATGTTCATATCTTTGAAGATGTATCATGGAAGTGTTGCAGACTTGTTTCTGTTTTTAAGAAAAGAACCAGCAAAACCCTCTTCAGTCTGCTTTCTTCCTCATGTGGAGCATGTTCCTGCATGGTGCAAACAGCTGCGGCACTTGGTTACTAACTGGATGTTGGTAGTCCGAGTCTACCCAGAGGCACCTCGCAAGAAAGGCCTGGAAATCTACTTCTGAAGAGTCAGCCACTGTAAACAATCTGGAGCACAGTTCTACTCCAACACACAGGGTCACCAGGAGTTGGAATTGATTCTGTGGTAATTGGTATCTGTAATTCCTTTATGGAATGTCATGATGGCATCCCTCCAACCTCAATTTTCCAGGAATAGATTAGACTCAATATTTTTTCCTAGAGTTGTGATAAATACAACTTTATTTTTCAGACTATCTGTCTTAACTTTTACTTTCAAGAACATAGTCAGCAGCAAAGAAGAATGTGTGAGTACAGACTTGGATCCATGACCACTTGCTCCTAGCTGGTCTAGGCAAGAATGAAAGGTGGAGTCTGTCAATGATTCCAAGATGAGGACAGATGGTCCTTACTCTGGAGCCACAGCCTGGAGAGTCCTGGGAAGCTGCCTGGTACAGAGGGAGAGCTGGGTTTGGAGCCAGACACATAGAGGTTAATATCCCTACTAACGGTGTGGTTCAGGGCAAGTGAGAACGCCGCTCAAAGTCTGATATGCTCTCCTGAACAATCCACAAAGACCTCACTCCTGGTAGAATCAGAGACAATGAATACTGTGGTTTGGAGACATCAGGTGCTCAGTAAATTGTTTAAGGACCTCAAACCCTACATCCCATTTTTAAAAGGAGAGAGTGAGGCTCATACAGTTGACTAGACCAAACAATTGAAAACAGAAATCAAGAAAGGGAAAACACAACCACATTTCCTCACTAAGGTTTTCACTTTAATTTTTGTTCATTGCTTTCTAGCCTTGAAAAATCACAGCCCAGAGTAATGAAACGGCTGTTGTTGCTTGGTTCTGTCGAGTACGATGATAGTGAGCCTATCAACCACCAACCTGAACCCTATCCTGAACCATCCTCACCGTCTCTGAACCACTCAAGCCCATTGTCGTAGTCACCATGTCAATCCATCTCATTGGGAGTCTTCGTCTCCTTTGCTGACCGCCCATCTTTCCAAGCATGATATCCCTTTTCAAGGAATAACTTTGCCTAGCTACATGTCCAAAGTATAAAAGACAAAGCTTCATGATCTTTGCCTCCAAAGAGCACTCTCTTCAGCACTCTCCCACAGCTCAAAAGTGTCAATTCTTCTGCCGCCCTTATTCATTGTTCAGCAATCTGATGCATAGCAGGTGATTAAGAAGACTATGGCCTTACTTAGGTGCAGCTTAATCTTCAAACTGACATCACTGCATGACTCAGAAAAGCCCTCAATGTTGTCGAACTGGACCTGACTCCAAGCTGACCCTCCAGCGGGTTTTCAGGAGAGTATAAATCATATGGTAGGAGGCTGCCCACCTTTATCCCTCAGAGTTGCTAGTGGATTTGAACCACCAGAAAGGTGCTGCCTTTGGGTTGGCAGCTCAACTCTCAAGGACTCCACCCCCAGAGTGTCCTCATTTGCATAACCAGGCTGAGCTGGGTCTGAGTTTTTAAGGAAAGATTCTCCTTCTCTGGGGCAAAGGACTCAGAAACACTTCTTGGAGCCAATGCTTGCTGTTTCATTAGAAAATGGACACAATGAACCAATTGCCTCAAATTTCATTACAATAACGGGAATGTTATAGGCTAAAAGGTTTGGGGTTTTGGCGTTTGTTTTTTTTTTGCCTTGGATGTGTGTTTTATCTAGTCTCTTTCCTAATGTAAGATAGATGGATAGACAGTGTCACAGACGAGAGCCACAGATAGGCAAGGGAGTAGAGAGGAAGCTCCCACTCACTTGCTTTAAGTGTGGCTCTGAAGGACACTTGGCCAAGGTGGCCCACATCAGGTCCTCGTGGCAGACAGGACTGACAGGCCCCAGCTCCCAGCTGGAAGGAAACAAAGGAGGACGCTTCAACGATTTAGATCCTCCCAGAAGAGCCGTGGATGAGCATTAACATTACTGGTAAGTATATTCATTTTCTCCTGGACACAGAGCCTACTAATTGGCCCTAAAAGCCTTCTGAGGTCCCAACTCTTGTCACTATTTCTTAGTTGTTGGAATGGACGGAAACCCTCAAAAGCAGTTCCTTACTTTACCTCTACCTTGCATGCGAACTTCCAAGTTGTAAAACAACCCAGTGGTAGATGGAATTTGCTCCAGGACTTAAGAACCATAAATGACATAGCTGAGCCTCTACATCTTGTGGTTCCTAACCTCTACACTATAATAGACAAAGTGCTAGTCTATAGGCCTTTTATTGTAAGAACCACCCTCCCTCTGTAACTTGATTTGTGCCACTATTAGAACCTCTACTCAGAATATTAATTGCTTTTTAATTTTTGACTCATGTACTTTTAACTTGTTAGTTAAGTTTGTGTCTTCTAGGCTGCAATACTTCCATGATACATCTTCAAGGATATGAACATGTATGGCTAAGCACAATTGATAACAGTGCATCTAAATTCCAAAATCAATCTCCATAATAGTCTATGTGTTTCCTACTGCCAAAGGGGCCCTTTATTGTAGTGAGAGAAGATCTTCACCCTGAAACCTGCAGCATCCCATTCCAGCAGGTAGTAGCTAAGAGAATACGCCATCCCCTTTTCCTTATGAATCAGGGTGAAGTCTCTCTCAGGGAGGAGTGATAGGGAATGGCAAAGGACACACTGACAAAGGAGATTAATCAGAACTGGCTTTGACAAGCACTGTGTCAACTGGACAATTAAAACAGATATTCAGGGCGGGGAAGAGGAACGAACTGGGGAGGAAGGTAGAGAAAATAGTGCAACAATGGATGAATGAAAATCTCTGTAAATGTTCATTAAAACTAATAAAATTCAATAATAATTAAAAAAAAGAAAGATGGATAGGGAGTCTCCTGCCACAAAGAAACCCAATGGAGGGTTGCATTTGGCTTTTCTATCTTTAAAACTCAAGATACTGTCATTTTCTTAGAGAATAGAAGATAAATAGAACTCCAGTTATCTTAGAATTTCTAATCCCAAGAATGTGCCTTCCTAGCTAATTTCCATGTGAACAGCAAACTTAATTTTCCACTTTTCAAACTGAGCAATGTACACACACAGACCCCCTGCTCCCCCAGTTGTCATCAAGCTAACCCTAATCATGGCAACTCCCATGCGGCGAGCAAAATTGTGAATCCCAAAGTTTCTGTGGGAGGGAAGAGCTTCACTCCCGTGGGCTCTAATCTATAAAACTACTTCCTGTCATAAAGACAGGAAGAGGGTTGTTTTTCCTTTGATTAAAGGCAATTAACAACAGCTGGTGGCAACATACCCCCACCCCCAACTCATGGAGACCCTACAGGATGGGGTAACTCTAAATGCCTCCCAGTGTTTTAAGACGGACGACTGCATGGCAAAGGGTGCTGTCCAGTCTTCTTCAAGAACTAGTTCTTCTTTAAGGAGCCCTGGAGCAACAGTGGTTACGTGCTGGGTTCAAACCCACCCACCTTGCTGAGCGAGAAAGATGAGGCAGTGTACTTTTACAAAGATTTACAGCCTTGGGAACCCTATGGGACAATTCTCTGTTCTATACATTGCTATGAGGCAGAATCAGTTATCATCTACCCTGAGAACATGTATGAAAAAGGTCACATCTCATTGGCCATATAAGGGAAAGATTTCTTCCCATCTTTATGATCTCTTTCTTTTTTAAATAATTTTTTTTCTTTATTGCAATGTGAGTGAAAGTTTACAGAGCAAATTGGTTTTCTGCTCAACTGTTCATACACATTTTGTTTTATGATATCAATTATAATGGTGTCATTATTTTCTTTCCACTGCTTCTCTGTGGTTCTCATCTCCAAGAATCCTTCGATCTTACTGCTTCTTGTCTTCTGGGCTTTATACTTGGGCCCCTTGTCGCCCCTTTGATCTTTTTCTGTGTGATCTCTTTAATGAGCTGCCCTCGAGGCACCACATTCTCATTTAATGCTCACATAATAACAAAAAGATTTCATTCCCTTATCCCTTATTGGAGAAGTTTTCTAGGTTGAGAGCAGCAGATGGTTTATAGTGATACAACAAACCTCAGACTCCTCACTTATCATAAGACATTAAAGATCACCTCATCTTCTAGCAGGGAGCTCTGGTCATACAACAGTTGAGCACGCAGCGGGTAACCAAATGGTCAACAGTTCGAACCAACCAGCTGCTCTGTAGGAGGAAGACCTGGAGATGTGCATCCACAAAGCTTACATCCTGGACCACCCGACGGGGACAGCTGTATTTTGTGGCCTGAGATCACTATGTGAAATGGACTTGAAATTATCTGGCAACAACCAGCACTGCCTCATCCAGGTGCTGTGAGGGTCATGGGCAAACTCCAGAGGCACCTGGGGACTAGGGCAGGGGCCACGTCTATTTATCACAGTCACGTCCCCAGTGCCTGGTGAAGAGCCTACACACAATAAACCAAACCAAACCAAACCAATTCCTTGCCATTGACATGGAACCAAATCATAGCTGGCCTCCACTGGGCTTCTAAGGCAAAAGATTGTTCATCCTTCTCTCGCAGAAGTCCAGGCCGATTCACACTTCCAGCGAGGCATGGCCTTTGTGCGAGAAGCATATCTCCTTATTAACCACACCTCCAGAGCTATCTGCCAGTGAGTGAGGAGAGGAGTATGTGAGATGGTTGGAGTTGTAGGAATCAGGGAAGAGGCCCGTCACTGTATCATGTGCAGACTCTCACAAAAGATAAAAAAAGCATGATGTCATATCTTAGTTTACTCGGTATTTAATAATTTAGCATTCATGTGGAGTGCTAAAGAGATTGGAACTATTTCACACTTACCCTTAAATTTTGGATATTCTCAGTACTTCTACAAGGGCCAGAGTCCAAATGTAGGAACTCCTGCAGTTACCTGCCCCATGACTACCATCTGGTGATGTTCAGCTCCTGCCTGTCAGCCCATCACTCCTGCCTGCCCGCTGTCATACTCACTCTCTCACTCCAGTCGGTGAGGAACCAGCTCTTCGCGCAGGGCCCCATGTCACAGTTCTCGATGTCATTGGGCCGCAGTTTCATGTTGCATTCCTCATCATCCACCACATCCCCAATGTTGCTGACACACTTCACGTCTCGGGTCCTCTGTCCCACTCCACAGGGCACTGAGCACTAGAACAGAGAAGCCTGCTTCAGTGGAACGTTTTATCTCTGAGAAAGAACGATGCATAGTTATGGGGCCCTCACCCTTTGCCCACTGGATCATTAACAGTTGATGGTAGGGGATTATCTTGTGCTACAAGGTCCCCTCCAATGCTGTTAACTACCTGGGAGAGGATCTGAACCTAGAAACAGCAAAACCTTTTCCACTAAGATTTTCTGAAATGTTCTGTTACTTTACTCTTCCGAGCCTCAGTTTTCTCATCTAGAAAATGGGAGAACAAAATTAGGAATTGGCTCTACCAATTGCCAGCCTTCTCTCACTGCGGCTCAGTGACAGATGAGGTGCTCACACACACAACGCCCACAGGATCATCCTTGAAGTCAGTGGGGAGGGATGCCCATCAGCCTCAAGTCTGTCTCCTCTGGTGCTACTCAGAGAAGCAAAGTAGCATCTCAGAACACACCGAGTAAGACCAACATTAACATAAAGACATACAGCCTTGGCTGGGCTTGAAGTTATAAAAAGGGCAATTACATTTTTCTTCTTGGATTATTGCTAATATCAAAGTACTCTTTACACATTATCCTTCTATGCTGGGACAATGATTGAATAGCATCAGATTGGATGGGGTCTCTGGTCTCTTTTCTGTTTTTCACTTGGTATTTGATATTCACTTGGAGGCTTTATCTAATAATTGATATGAACTTTAGCTGTCAGAGGATTTAGCAAAGTTTGGAAAAGGGGCAGGGATGGGGTGAGGGAGAAACAGCCTTACTGCTATTGCAGGGGGAATTTTTAGTGTTTGCCAGAGAAATTCTGCTTTGTCCCATACTTCACATACTACATGATTGGGCACGTCCTTGAAAGAAGATGATTTAAAAAAATAAAAATCCTAGGACATTACCTCACATGCCAGTGGGTGATGGGAATTAAAAAACAAATTTAAAATGCCTTGAGATTTGCTCTTGAATAACTTCACCTGGTGTGTGTGGGGTGCTGGCAGGAAAAGCGCATCTCTATTAGAAAAGGTAGGAACAGGGGAGAGAGTGACTCACCCTGCAGGGCCAGGCCAGGCCAGAGCCAGCCTCCTGAAAAGAGCTTTGAAAGCTGAGCTCAGCAGAAAGAAGCTCTGAGGGGGAGAGGTTAGAGGAAACAATATAAACAAGGGCAGGGAAGCATGAAAAGGTGAGGGATGTCTGGGAGGTGAGGGGTGTCTAGAGAAGAGCCTGAGGGGTTTGTCTGGGATGGAAGAGGTGGCAAAGAGGATGAAAGAGACGTCCCTCTCCCTCGGAAGGAACACTGGATAGGTAATTCCTGAGAGGTGATTTTCTGCTGTTGAGATGGGTAATGTGGTAAAGCTGTGCTTTAGAACAGGCCTCTCACAAACACTGCATAATGCCACTGTTATAAAACAGGGACAGGCATCAGAGTTGGGGGGAAACAAAGAAAAGCGGGGATAAATAATATACACTGCATTGAAACTGATGAGGGAGAGAATTGTTTAAAAGGTATATATGATTAGGTATTATCTGCATTGCAAGAGTCCAGAATAAGGGCTGCATAGTAAAGTGGATGGTGGTCGGGGAGGGGATTGTATAACCATGAGAGAATTTTTTTTTCTTCTCAAAGAGAAAAGTGAACTGGGGTGGGGGAGTGGGCAGGGAGGAAAACAGTGCAACAATGAATGAATGGAAATCTAAGTTCTCTATAATCTTTCATTAAAATCTCAATTAAAAAAAAATAGAACCTCCCTAAAAAACCCAAACAAAACCAAAACAAGAAAACAGGTCTCTCAGACCTCCGGGGACATATATGTTATTGTGCAGGAATCAGCTAAAATGCTGAGTGGGTCCGGGTGATATCTGAGATGCTGCATATCTAAAAATCCACTCAGCTGGTGTGCACACTACGCCTGAGGAACAAGGATTTAGAAAACTCCACAAGGGCGTGGGTGGTAGGCTCGACACATCGAGTAAGAGCACAGCTGGTGGTTTAAGAGGAAAAAACAACATATAAAATGTGTTGGAATAAAAAAAAATGTGTTGGACTTGCTGAGCCCTGGATATAACCAAGGTTTGAAAACCTGTCTGGGTTCCCCAGCTTGAGCCCTGTCCAGGAGAAGTGAGCCCATCACAGGTCTCAGTGGGGGAAGGCAGGAGCATGGTGGTGGTGTGGAGGTTAGGGTGTGGAGTGCAGGGTGAGAAGGTGGCTCTGAGAGCAGAGCTGGGCTTCCACAACCCCCCTGGCCCTGCGTACCGAGGTCCAGTCTGTGCGGATCTGCCACTCGCTGCAGATCTTGAGTTGGCAGGTGCTGGTGGTCTCCGGCTTCTCCAGGTGCTGGCAGCGATAGGGCTGCACTGTCAGGCTGCGGTTGGCATACACCTGGCGACACAGGACCTGGCGATGCTGCATGCCCAGGCCACAGGTTTTGCTGCACTCAGACCATTCTCCGATGTCCCAGCTAGCTCAGGAAGGAAGGTTTAAGAGTGAGAGGTTACTTCCCTTCAACAGGAAGTGCACCGAGGGAGCCTGGAGCACACTGGAACCATTCTCATCAGAATACAGCCTGGCTTCAAAGCCACCTACAGGTCCTCGGACTCTGTAAGGTAATGTCACTTTGTTACACACACACACACACACACACACACACACACACACCCCGCCCTGAAAGATTATTTTATTGTCCTGTAGAACATAAACTCACTTTGAAACGAAGAAACCTTGCTTAAGTATTCTTTATGGTTTAATAACTGCTCTGGTGGCCTAGTGGCAAGAAGCTGTGCTGCAATCCCGAAGGCACCCAGCTCGAGACCACCAGCTGCTCCACAGGAGAAGGATGGGCAATCTTCTCCAGAGCGATTCACTGCATCTGAAAACCCACTGGAGGGTCAGCTGTGGCTTGATTCTGAGTCAACAGTAAACAACAACATTTGCATGCCAATTTTACAGAATCTCCTTTGTCATTAGTTAAAAAAGTCACGGGCATGTGTTCTTACTGTATTTTGATGAGGCTGTTGCTTTTATTACTTTTTAGTCTCTTTTAGGGTCCTTCTCTCCTGTCCCCCCACTCCAAGTCTCTAATAACCAATAATCCATCCAAGACCCGCCCTGTGAAACACCCCCTAACTTCTCCAGGCAGGTGCATTTATGACTCCATATTTTTTCTATAGCCACAGCCTACCTACAACACGGATCCCACCGGCTTGTAATTCTTCGCTCCCTTCTGAGGCTTTTCTTACGAGGCTAAAATCCCCATCATGGGAATTTCCCAAAGGGTGGGCTTCCTGGGAGCAGGCTGACCTAGTAAAGCCTGCTAGCTCCCAGGCCCACCTGGAAAGACAGTGCCCTTGTCCAGCAGACCCCATCTGATACAGAGACACAGTGCCATACCTGCCACTCACACTTAGATGGGCTTGAAAATTAGATTAGGGAAGCGTTGTAAAGACAGAGCACAAGGCCCTTTGAGGGAGCAAAACTGTCTGATGACACTAACGGTAGACACCTCATCTGATGCGTCTGTCAAAACCTGCAGGACTGTTCTGAGAGAGAACCCTACTGTAAAGGATAGACTTCATTACTAAAACATGCTGTTCCGCACTGGTTCACCAGTTTTAATAAACAGACCACAAGAATGCACCATGCTAACCACTGGAGAAAACCACTGTGTGTGGGACAGAGGGCATATGAGAACTCTTTGTACTTTATGGACAACTTTCCTGTAAACTTAAAACTGCCCCAAACCCCCCAAGCACCTAATAAATGCAAACTCATTCCTATCAAGTTAGTGCCAACTTATAGTCAACCCTCCAGGGGCTTCCTGGGGCTGTAAACACACAGGAGGAGATTGTCCATCTTTGTCCTCAGAGATGCTGGTGTATTCCCACTGCCAGAGAGGTGTGGCCTTTGAGTTAGTAGCCTCCTCTCTACAGACCACACCACGACAGCTCCGTCTTGCTGGTATGTGCCCTCAAGTCAGAACTGACCCACTGCTGACCCTCCATTGAGTTTCCAGAGACAGTAAATCACACAAGACACTGACTGACCATCTTTCTCTTGCAGAGCAGCTAGTGGATTTGAACCACGTGCCTTTGAAGCTGCAGCCAGCTTCTTCCCTCTAGGCCACCAGAGCTCATTATTAAGAAACCAAATTTGAAACAATGCAAAACAAAATAGAACCAACCCCTCCAGATAAAGTCTGCTGTCAATGTTCTATTCACAAGTGACCATAAGGTACGTGACCACAGGGGACTTTACAGAGAGGTGACTTACAAGGCCGGGCAGGGGAACAGGTTGCAGGGCTCCTCCTCGGGGGTGGGCTTCATGCTGGCGTCACAGTAGCCCTCAGGAACTTCTTTATGTGTATTTCTGTTCACACAGCGGAAAATGGGGAACTGCGATCCTGCAACACAAGGGCCCCACACACTTGCTGAATGAGTATAAGAAGTTTGATACTTGTTTTTATTACTTTGTTAAAAATGCATACTGATGGCACAGGGCTTTTAAAAGACACAACCTCATCTCATTGACTTAATATACAGAAACCTATTTTGGATAAAAAGCCAGGTTTTGTTAAGGAGAATTCCTGCCTCTTGAAGGATTTGCTTAAGGTTTCAGTCTGTTGCTTTTCATGGGTGACTTGATGGAATCTAACAACAAAGATGTGCAGTTGTATTATGAATACTGCAGTTAATGTCAAAACCAAAACTGTGTTTAGATTATTATTATTAATACTAATAAAAGTTTACAGAGACTTTGGATTTTCATTCATTCATTCTTGCACTTTTCTCCCTGCCCACCCCTCTCCTCTCCAGTTGCTTTTCTCTTTTAAAAGTAAAAGAAACATCCTTTCATTGTTATACAATCCCTCCTCCCAAGTCCACTCTACTATGCAGCCTTCTTCCTGGACTCCTGTCATGACAATAATACCTAATTATAAACCTTCATCCCAATTACAATTGTTATGTGCCGTCAAGTCGTTGACAACAGCTCTGAACCCTGCTCTGTTAAGGTCTCTCTACTGCCCTCTTGTGGCAGCACCAGTATACTAAATGGATGTATCTTAAGTGCGAAATGTAAGGAACTGAACGGTGTAGCTCAACCATGTGAAGGGTAAATACTTCACACGGAAACCTCTCTACACAATTGCAAAGTTTAACAGGACAGCAAACAAAAACGTTGGAGAGAATGTGGAGATATAGGAACTCTCTCCACTGCTAGGAATACATCCCGAGGAAATTAGAACTGAGACACAAATGGAGATTTGTATCCCAATGTTCATAACAGTGTTATCATAATAGCAGGGAATTACACACAGCACAAATGTCCAGCACAATCAAATGGATTGAGAAACTGTGGCATATTCACACAGTAGTATTCTATGCAGCAACGACTTCAAAAATTACTACATAACTGGGGAGAGACTGGAGGGCATTCTGCTGAGTGAATTAACTCAGTTTTATAAGGACAAATGCTGTATAAGACCATTATTGTAGAAATAGAAAGAAAACTAGTAAAATGTGCATGAGGATTCAAAGGGAGGAAAGGTGGGAGCAAAGGGGTGAGGATGGGGGAAATCATAGGGTCACACAATTTGGTGGGTGAAGGGAAGTGAAATGAGAAAGATCTGACGGAGATCTGGAAAGGCAGGGTAATGGTGGGCATAGTTCAATGGTGATTAATATTATAAAACATAATAAATGAGAATGATTGCATGAAATACATTTTGAATGAAGGATAGTGTGAAACACAATTTTTATGAACTTTGTAAGCAAGCCAATATAAAAGAATTAAAAACAAAGCAAAACAAAAACCTCTCTACCCCAGTTCATAATTCCAGGTAGGAAGAACATTATAATTTCTTCTCTGTCTCTGAACTATCTGTTAACAATTAACTTGGTATTTGTATTCAGTCCTGGCTGTTAATCAAAAGGTCTATGCTTTGAATCTACTACTTGCTCATTGGGAGAAAGATGGACAGTCTCCTTGGTAAAGTTTTACAGCCTCTGTGATAAGGGGAGAGGGGAGCATACGTGGTTAATCATAGGGTCATACAAATTTATGGGTGGAGGTCGGGTGGGTGAAGCAAATGGGAAAGATCTGGTATGAAAAACAATGTACACAAACTTTGTATATAAATCATCATCATCATTATAATAATTATAAAACAAAAACAAAACCCAAACCTGATAGAGGATCATGAGTCAGACCTGATTCAATGGATGTGGGGTTTTTTTTGCAGGGGGCGGGGGCCTTCCAATTCACTACAATTTTAGTTGTTAAGTTGAAGGAGAACCTCTAACATAAATGCCTAAATATTTCATCAGCCATGAAAAGTGTGTCAGAACTTCTGGAAACTGAGCTTATGGGACATTCTGAGCCAGAGGGGTAGTTCTTGTAAGAAACTGGACAGTTTGTAAGATGGTTTTGAAGCTGGAATAATCATTTATCTAAATTACTTTTGCAATAAAAGTTTACAATGTAGCTATAACCTGAAACCATTGTTTAAAATAACATTCCAATTAAGAATAATTATTAGCTGAGTGGAAAAGCAGTACGGACTCTAAAGCTAATGGGAAGCCAAAACATTTATAGAATTAAATTTTGCCCAGTTACATATCTGTTTCCATTAAAAGATTTAAAGTTAAATCCAACAAACATTAAGCACATAATAGTCACAAAGCATTGTGCTGAGTTACAAAGATGGATTAAACACCATTCACTGCTTGCAGTGTGTGCACTTGGGACCCAGCTGTGAATGGATTAAATACAGATCCCAGTATTTGGCCTGTTTTTCCCCCCTTTCAGACAGTGTGGGCTTAGCTTCTAAGTGTGTGGACTATCTAGCTTACTGCCAACCACCCAAGGTTTTCTAGGACATCCTGATTTCAACTCCTTCACACTGTCAGTCCCTAAATGTGATGTCTCAGACTGTATATTGCTCTTGGGCATCAATTCTGAGGGGGTTCACTGTGCTGACCTGCAGTTTGGACACCTATCCACCACATGTGCTGTGTGTCCTCTCCAACCTGTGACTCTTGTCAATCAAGGAAGGGATGCAATTGTCATTACTGGTCCAGTGGTACCATTTCTTCCTTTCTGTGAGTTGGCTTTAATTTCTCCAGAAAGGGAGAATGTCAGTTAAAATGGCACCTGGGCACCCCTTTAGGGCCCAAGCATGTGATTCAATTATTCTTCTAGTTAGGAGCAAGCAAGAATGGGGTGGTGAGGTCAGATGCTGAGTGGGCTTCAGGCAGCTGGGAAAGTCTGGGATCAGCTCTGTTGGGTTGTGTGTTAAGTATGTTGATTGAAATAGAATATATCAGAGGAGGGCACTATGGTTGTGTACCGTAGAGCCAGAATAGACCTGTAGCTGACCCTCTGTTGGGTTTTCAGAGGCAGTTAAATCACAAGGGAGGAGATTGCCTATCCTTCTCCCATGGAGCAGCTGGTAGATTTGAACCATGTGACTTTGGGATTTTAGTGCAGCTTTTGTACAATAGGTCGGTAGTGGAAAGAAAATGATGGATGCCAGTGAGTTCAGGAAAAAGTTGGTAGGCTGGTGAGGTGGTATGGGGAAGAGATAATATAATGAGCAAGGAAAAAAATTAATTCTAGTCTCAATACTCCATCAACCATCCATGCCAACCCAAGTTTGACCAGGTAGGTGAAGGTCTGGGTTGTCCAGCAACCATTCTTCCATGCCTGGAAGTAGACTCTCTCCCAGTGGTGATATTAAGACAACGTTTCCAAAAAGGGAAAATTTTGCCCTTAGAGACCTAAAAATGTGTGATCTGCTTAGCTCTAGTGTTAGATCTGGGTGGTGGATCTGGCAAGCGTAGTGATCGGACAGGGCTGGGAGGCATACAAGCTCTTGGCCACGAACACATGTTACTCCTGTTGACTTGGCCCCATCTGCATAAGATGCACTAAACGATGCGTACAGTCACACACCTTCCTCACCTGCCCTGGATATCTGACACCCTTGCTCCTGGGGCAAACTCCTGAGGGAGCAAAAAGACACCAGGGGGGGCTGCCATTTAGGAATCCGGTTTAAAACACAGGGAAGCAAAAAAGATATTAGGATTACCAGAAAAAAAAAGGGTCAGGAGATCAGTAGATTCCTGATTTTGTTTTACTTCAGGATTTCTTTGGCCTAAGTATGAATGTCAAGGCGAAGAGGGTGATGGGCATGCCATCCTGGGCATTCTGAGAGGCAGACGCCAAGGTTATGTGTGTGCACACATGTGTATATGGGCACAGGCATGTTATGAAGTTAAAGTACATACCATGGCAGCCTCATAGTAAGGAGCTACGCTCTAATCCTAAATTCAAATGCACCAGCTGCTCCATGGGAGCGGATAGGCAATCTCCTCCTGTGCCATTTTCTGCCTCTGAAAACCTGCTGAAGGGTCAGCTATGAGTTGGTTGCAACTTGATGGCATCCCTCCACCTCTTCTAACAGTATGAAAACACACACACACACACACACACACACACACACACACACACACACACTCTGTCTTAGAACATAAAAGAATGTAGAAATCTGGAGAAAAAGATTTGGCCATTTTGAATAACTGATCTGCTCTCTGTGCTATTCATGGGATGTGGGTGATGATAATAATAGACCTGTATGTCCAAGCTATAATGGAATTGTAAAAAGCACCCCTGGATCTTTTCTAGTAGCTCAGGCAGACATTTGAAGACTGGTGATGCTATGCTCATCCATCCAGGGAACAAACATCTGAGGAGTATGCACTGTTTGTGTCCTCTGAGATCAGGTGGTGGGGTTGCAAAGTGTTCACCGTGTGGGCACAGCCAAGCATGACTGTGAAATGTATGTATCTCGAATTACTGGCGGGCTTAAGGGAGAAGTGCTCATGTGCACCTTGCAGAAACAGAGTGAGGCCTCCCAGAAGTGGTGGGCTCTGAACTAGACTGGAGTGGAAGCAGGAGCTTGCAGGACCAGAGACGGAAAGGGAAGATAGGTTTTGCCCCCACCCTCCGTAGCATGAATGACACAAATGGGTTTGAAAGTGGTGCAAAATTATTGAAACCTTTGACTATTGGAGTCTCTCCATTTATGGCTGGTATAAAATAAAGGATTGTTCATTTATTCCTGAATGAGTAAATGCCACATGTGCTGCAAAGGTGGCATAAATGGTCAAGGGCTTGAAAAGTTATAGAGTAGAGCTCACCCGGGGTAGGCTTGGAAGAAAGGCCTGGCAATCTACTGCTGAACAGTCATGAACCTTAAAATCTCTCCTCTGACATACGTGAGTCAGAATCAACTTGAAGGCATTATCCTTTGTCCTGTGCAGTGAACACAGGACGGCATGAGCATCATGGAGATGGGCTGGCAAACAGCACAGATTCGGGTTCTTGTCTCATTACATTCAC